CGCCGCGCTCCGAGGTACGGTGCGATTTAAGGTGGTCGGGAGGAGATGGTGGCGGCCGCCGGTCCCTCGCCCCGGGAGACCCGGCAAACGTGCGGAAAATCAGGCCGAGGAACGGGGAGAGTTTGGGAAATTCCACCCCCCACCCCCCTTCCTCGCGTCCACTCCCCGCCTAGTCCTTCCAGGCGAGTCCTGTTCTAGCACTGAAGGTGGGGCTTAAATGTATTAATATTAAAAAAGCGCTGTTGACCTATATTTGGAGGAAACCCATTTCCAGTGTCTAGATTGCATGTAGTTTCAGAAACTCCGGGATTGGCAGAGCAATTGACTTCATCGAGCTCTCCGTTGAGCATGAATAATAATTATGAGGTGACTCTCGGAGAGCTTCTCTCTCTCTCTCTCTCTCTCTTTTTTTTTTTCTTCTTCATAAAATGGTTCCGCAATGTGATTCCACCCGAGATCTAATATTTACCCAGTTGTAAACCTTGTGCCATCAGATTTTTCAAAACAGAAGGTGATGCAATGCCGATAAGTTGCAAGTCCCTCCCCTATGGAAGTACCAGAGCCTTGGCGGCGAGCATCCTTAAAGAAATATCAATATATTTACGCTCTGATGGGCACAATTGCAGATGATGGTATTGCAATACGAGCTATATAATACGGAATCAGGAGAGGAATGGTCGATCCGGCTTCAGCTGCCTTTTGTGAGTGCACCACTGCATGCCTACTAAATTTAGAATACGCTCGCGAGGAAAATTAATAATAATAATAAAGGCTAAAATGAAATGAAGCAAAGTAATAATAATAATTCAATAAAATATATTAAAAATATATATCAAGTCATCAGGCGTAGCAAGCGAGGACTGCGTTTGTAATAATGAGTGAGTGGCCTGGCGGTCACTATACACTTGGGGTCCTCTGAGCTGTATGCAATTCGTTTGATCAAAGTGCATCCTTGGGGACAAATGCAAACAGCAATCTCTAACCAAGTTACAGGGAACGCCATGGCACGGCAAGGACTGTACGTATCACACCGATTACCCCACCAAATATCTAGATAGCTCCAGCTCCAGCCCCTGCTAACTTGTCTGGATAGATGGTATTTACATTCAATGGGGGAAACTAGCCGAGTTTGGAGGGGCGGGGGGAGGAGGGGG